CCACGTGTGTTCCTATGCAACAATTTTGCATGTTCTTCACATATACCCCAAAACCTAAAATGCAATAAAATAAATAAATGGGGAAAAAAAATACAAAAATTAGCCAGGGGTGGTAATGGGTGCCTGTAATCCCAGCTACTCAGGAGGCCAAGGCAGGATAATTGCTTGAACCCAGGAGGCAGAGGTTGCAGTGAGCCAAGATCATGCCACTGCACTCCAGCCTGGGCGAAAGAGAAACACTTCATCTCAAAAAAAAAAAAAAATTGAAAGCACAAGGGTAGCAGGAGAGAAGAGGTGAAGGATGACTGACAGCTAAGCTGGAGGAAGAGCACCCAGGTTGGGAGGCAGCAGAAGCTGCTGGGTGAATAAACAGGCATCCCCTCTCCAGCAACCCTAGCCATGAACCCTGGGCCATGAGGTAGGGTGGAGGGACTGAGCCTCTTCCATGTCCTTTTGCACAAGTGGCTTCCCATAAGGGGAAGCTGGGCATTACAATCTGGCCAAGAATAAAATTCATGAGTTTCAGGGAAATGCTGCTGTGCAGAAACACTTGGGCTTGGAACTCTCCCTGTCTTTTGAGGGGACAACTTCTCTTTGACAGGGAGTAGGACAGCTGCTTTGTCTGGCACCCACAGCCCAAGGGTGAAGAAAAGTCTGTTGGGGAAGAAAAGAGTGGAGGCTTCCTGAAGGAACTGAGGCCTTTGCAAGAGTGGCAGAGGATGCCCCTGGGGAGTGGGAAGGGGAGATCAGCAATTCAAGAGGGGAGGTTCAAACCTCAGAGCCTGCTTCCAAAGTCAATTGGCTTCCTGGATTAGTTAAAATGGATCTAGGAATGGGGAGACATGGGAAGGGTGGGAGGGGTCAAAGTAGAGGAAGGAGGAAAAGGAGACACTGGTGGAACTTAAAGAAGATTTTTGTTTTTATTTTTTAAATTTTTTTTTAGCAAGTAGCCCACTGAACATGGCACTAAACCTCTCTCCTTCCCAGGCAGGATTACTCTGAAAGGCAGCTGTGCTTTTCATTCATCCTCTCTTAGCAAGTGGTGCCTGTTCCCTACTGGAGTTAAGTTCGAGCCCCTCTTTCCACGCCCTGTTCCTGGATACACCAGCAAGACCTGGCCTGAATAGAGCTGAGAAACTCGTTTAAAACAGGTGGAAGTGGGCTGGGGCAAGGGGGACTCTGCCGGAGGAGGAAGGGAGAAGCACAGAGAGTCCAGGAAGGCATAGGGGGTGAGGGAGCAGCTGGTGTTTCTGTACCTCTAAATATCTGGGCTTCCTGCTACCCCAATCCTGGAGGGTGGGGTGGGGGTGAAACCAGATGCAAGGAACTCTGGAGCCCTCTGGTTGTTCAGTCCAACCCTACCACCCACCAAACCCCCACCCACCCCCCAAAAAGGGGGAAAAAAAAAGAAAGAAAAGAAAATCCACAGGGGCACAAGCAGACCCCTAAAACTCAGAAAACTCTTTAGCACACTTCTCGTTGATGGAGATCCGGATCTCTTTCTCCTTGTAGTTGTCAAAGTTACTGGCATCCCCAGGGCCTGCAAACTTCGGGATGAAGGGAGCTTCCACCTTCTTCTCATAGATGGCGATCCAGTTGGTTGTGGCGAACCACTTGTGGTTCTTGATGTCGCCGACCCTGTTCCGGAGGTTCCCGAAGCGTTTGGTGAGGTCCACCTGCAGCAGGCTCCGCAGCAGGTGCTTGAGGTCAGAGCTGACATGGGAGGGGAACCGCAACTTCCCAGAGACGATCTTCTCGTAGATCTGGATCGGCTTGTCGGCATAGAAGGGTGGGAAGCCCATGGCCATCTCGTAGGTGAGCACCCCCAGGGCCCACCAGTCCACGGCCTTGTTGTAGCCTTTGCTCAGGATGATCTCGGGGGCCAGGTACTCGGGGGTCCCGCACAGGGTCCAAGTGCGGCCCCTCACGCGCTTGGCGAAAGCGAAGTCCGTCACCTGCACGTAGCCCTGCTGGTCAATGAGGAGGTTCTCGGGCTTCAGGTCGCGGTGGATGAGGTCGAGAGAGTGCAGGTACTGGAAGGCCAGGACGATCTGGGCGGCATAGAAACAGGCATGGGGCTCTCTGAACTTTCTGACGCGCCGTAGGTGGGAGAACATCTCCCCACCCGACACGTACTCCAACACCAGGTACAGGTTGGAGTTGTCCCTGAAGGAGAACTGGAACTTGACGAGGAACGGAAAGTCGATAGCCTGCAGGATGCGCTTCTCGTTCAGGACGTGCTCGACCTGCTTCAGCTTCACCACCTTCTGCTTGTTGAGGATCTTCATGGCGTAGTGGCTGCCGCTCTCCCGGTGCCTCACCAGTACCACTCGCCCGAAGGAGCCGATGCCCAGTGTGTTCAGCAGTTCAAACTGATCCAAGCTGAAACGGGTGTTCCCATCTGTAGAGGAAATCTTCTTTGGCTCTGGCTAGGGACTCTTTGATGTCCTCCTGCTTGGTGTCCTTCTTGGTGGGGGCGTTGCCCATGGCGGTGGTGGCGGCCGGGGCGGGGGTCTCGTGGCTGCGGCGGCGGTGGCGGCAGCGGGGGTCTCGCAGCGGCGACAGTGGCACTTCGACCCTCCCACCCACCCCCCGCGCCCTGGGCCCCGGCTTACAGTCCCAGCTAATGGGAGGCTGAGGTGGAAGGATTTCTTGAGCCTGGCTGGGAGGGCAAGGCTTCCGTGAGCCAAGATCACCCAGCTGCCCTCAACAATATGGATAAATCGAAAAGGCATTATGCAAGTGAGAGAAGCCAACTCTAAAGGGGACTTAGCATATGAATCTATTTCTATGACACTCCAGAAAAGGCAAAACTATAGTGTGAGAGAACAGGTCAGTGATTGCCAGGGCTTGGGATTAGGGGAGGGTTGGACTATGAAGGGACAGCCTGAGGGAATGTGGGAAGTGATGGAACACATCCGTATCTTGATCGTGCTGGTGGTTACAATGTGCTGGTGGTGGTCTACATTTATTTTAAAACTCATAGAACTGGCTGGACGCGGTGGCTCACCCCTGTAATCCCAACACTTTGGGAGGCTGAGGTGAGCGGATCACCTGAGGTCAGAAGTTTGAGACCAGCCTGACAAACATGGAGACACTCCGTCTCTACTAAAAATACAAAAACTTAGCCAGGCGTGGTGACACATCCCTGTAATCCCAGCTACTCAGGAGGCTGCGGCAGGAGAATCGCTTGAACCTAAGAGGTAGAGGTTGCAGTGAGCTGAATCACCACTGCACTCTAACCTGGGCAATAAAAGTGAAACTGTCTCACAACAACAACAACAACAACAACAACAACAAAAACCCACACACACATAAAAACTCATTGAACTGTAAACATCCCCCCCCACCTCCCTAAATTCAATTTTACTGCATGGAATGTTTCATTTTAACACATACATATGATTTCCTTTCTTCTGCTTGCTTTGGGTTTAATGTGCTCTTATTTCCTAAGGTGGAAACTAAGGTCATTGATTTCAAATCTTTCTTCTTCCATTACAATCACTTAGTGCTATGAATTTCCTCCTAAGTATTGTTTTAGCAGCATAAATTTTGATATGTTGTATTTTCCTTTCATTCAGCTCAAAATATTTTCTAAGCTCCCTTTTCATCTTCTTTGACCCATAAGCTATCTAAAATTATTTTGTTTTCAAATATTTGGGGATTTTTGAAGAATTCTCCTATTGATTTCTGATTTAATTCCATTGTTAGAAGACATACTCTGTGTGACTTAAAATATTTTACACTTCTTGGGACTCATTTTATGGCCCAGAATATCATCTGTCTTGGCAGATGTCCCATATGCACTTGAGAAGAATGTATATTCTGGTGTATTCTGCTGTTTGGGGAAAGAGAGTTCCACAAATGTCACTTAGGTCAAGTTGTTTAGTAGTAATGTTCAGGTCTTTTATATTCTAATTGACTTTCTGTTTACTTATTCTATCAGTTATTAAAAACATGCTGTAGGAGTTTATGAGAAGTCAAAGTATATGGACCTTCCATCACTCCCCCAGGCCACCATGTTAGCCACACAGCACCCTCTAGAAGAGAGCCAACATTCACTCAGCCATCCAGGGGTGAGTTCTGAGCTGCCTTCCCAATTCTGTGCAATAGATTCTGTCCTACATCACAAACACTGAGCTACAGGAATATCCATTTATCCTCCTATTTTCTCTTCACCTTGCCCTTTAAGTTTGACAGCTAATTCTGCTTACCTCCCCAACCACACACACACACACACACACACACACACACACACACACACCCCGCTTCTAGCTAGTGAAAGTAAACAACACCCTTTCACCCAGCCCTGAAGGCTAAACCAAGCAAAATGGAGAGGAATTCCTGATTACTTGGTTTCTATTGTGACTGTGAATTCTTGCCGCTCAGTTCAGCAGATGGTGGTCAAGCAGGTTTCTACTGTGTGCAAGTCCTGGTTAGAGTTTACAGTTTTTTTTTTGTTTGTTTTTTGTTTTTTGTTTTTTTTGAGACGGAGTTTCGTTCTTGTTACCCAGGCTGGAGTGCAATGGCGCGATCTCGGCTCACCGCAACCTCTGCCTCCTGGGTTCAGGCTAGGGCCAATACTTGCATACTAACTATATATTCAGAAAGTTTAAAGAGGAAGAGGGGGAAAGAAGAAAAATCTGTTGATCGCCTCAACTTCCACAAAATGGAAACCCACATTCCCTCAACAAGAACGTAGCAGGGGAGTCAACTGCCCCTTGTGCTTTGGGTCAAGGCAATTCCCTGGCAGATGGAAATTCCACATCTCCCCCATAATCTCACTGATTTCCTCGTCATTTTCATCACAGTAGATGTGCTACAATTCTCCCCATTTCTGATTTACCTCCAGATTATTCAGAGGAAATTTATAAACAAAGAGCAATTAGTGCTAAACCATTCTCTTGGACCCATGCCTTGGAAGTGGAACAGTTTGTTTAGAACCAGGCTGTGCCCTTCCATGACAAATTCTTGTGGCATTAATCTCTGAAGTTCAATTAGGAAGACACAGGGGTCTAGAGGGAACATGTGCTGCTGCTAGAAATGTCCCCATGCTTTGTTTACAGGTCAGAACATCAAGTATTTAACTGTCCCAGAACCAGCTGCAGAGTAATTACATTTGTTATTTTTCTCCACTTTCCATTTTTCTCTTTTCCATAGCCTTGGGAAACAAGGGAGTCCTTAGCATGCCAAGGAAACAGGGATCCTTTTGCATTCAAATAAACCTTTTCAGAAGGAAAAGATACAATGTATCTGCATGGTCTGCTTGGAGCTTGCCTAGGGGACCAAATGAAGAGGTGAAAGCCAACTCTGCTTTCCTGTATGCCCAATGAAAGGCAATCAAGACCATTATTCTCCCAAAAAACTGCCCACTGGCAGTCATGCCAGCTGATTCTCCTCTTTACTGTTTATATGGCAGTTTCCAAATGGCTAATTGCATAAGGCTTGGATCATTCAGTTCTAACTTCCGCTCTATCTGCAAAATATTGATGGGAGCAAAGAAAAGAACAAACTCTACCAAGGATTCAAACAAGAAAGAAACTACAAATCTATCTCTCGGGGAATTGTTTATATAATACTGCATGTTCTGGTCAAGAGATATTAATCATACCTGGATTTTGACAAACCAGCTTCTATTAATAGTTTATTTTCTCCTTATTAGCAGAATAGTGTAAAAGAACATTTTTGAACACAAAGTTTCTATATCAGATTTTTGATCAGCAAGGATATCTATAAAATGTAGATTTAAAATTGGCATGGCCTTGTTATATGAAAGATGGAAAAAATATATATATATAGGGCTGGGTGCGGTGGCTCACACCTGTAATCCCAGCACTTTGGGAGGCCAAAGTGGGTGGATCACCTGAGGTCAGGAGTTCACGACCAGCCTGGCCATCATGGTGAAACCCCATCTTTTAAAAAAGAAAACATGAAAAAGAAAAGAAAGATGAAAAATTATGTTATGGGAGACAGGAAGTTCAGAAAGAACTTAATGACAATAATTTATAAAGTACTATATTTATTTATTTTATTTTTGAGACACAGTCTTACACTGTCACTCAGGCTGGAGTCCAGTGGCACAATCTCAGCTCACTGCAACCTCCGCCTCCCGAGTTCAAGCGATTCTCCTGTCTCAGCCTCCCAAGTAGCTGGGATTACAGGTGCCTGTCACCATGCCCAGCTAATTTTTTGTATTTTTAGTAGACACGGGGTTTCACCATTTTGGTCGGGCTGGTCTCAAACTCCTGACCTCAGGTGATCCACTCACCTTGGCCTCCCAAAGCGCTGGGATTATAGGCGTGAGCCGCCGCACCCGGCCTCACATTCATTTAAAGTTTGGACAATCATTCATCCATTGGTACCACTAATTTTGCCATAATATTTATAGAAGTGGGTTGACACACGATAATGAGCACTGTAATGTTGTTGGGACCTGAAAAGGAAACAGTCCTAGAAATAAGCCCAACTTGCTTACCTAAAAATATTTCTTCTGACATATAAGAACTGCTAACAGTGATTACCCCTAGGGAATAGCAATAGGAACTTAGAGAAGCATAAATTAAAGGAAGGAACATTTTTACTTCACAGTTTATAAGCTTCTGAACTGCTGAAATTAATTTTGACCATGAATTACTTTATTTATTAAAATAGAAATGAGTTAAAACATTGGTTTCTCACAAATGCATTTACTTCTGTTTTATGGGCCACTTTTATATATTGTTTAAATCCACAGAATGGTATAAAATTATTTTCCCCATATTTTGAAGTTCTTCCACTTTTCCTGGCAATACACTCTGTTTTGTCTTTGAGGAATTACTACTACCCCATTTCATCTGATTCTGTTAGATTCGCAATCGAACCCACTCACTTGAGTCAAAGTCAGGGATGGCCACAGGACCCAACATAGGTCATCAGTTTATCTCTTTCAGGAATTGAATCTTTTTTTTTTTCAATCGTACTTTAGGTTCTGGGGTACATGTGCTGAACGTTCAGGTTTGTTGCATAGGTATACATGTGCCATGGTGGTTGGCTGCATCCATCACCCAGTCATCTACATTAGGTATTGCTCCTAGTGCTCTCCCCCAGCTTGTCCCCAACCCCCCGACAGGCCCCGGTGTGTGATGTCCCCCTCCGTATGTCCATGTGTTCTCACTGTTCAACTCCCACTTATGAATGAGAATATGTAATGTTTGGTTTTCTGTTCTTGTGTTATTTTGCTGAGAATGATGGTTTCCAGCTTCATCCATGTCCCTGCAAAGACATGAACTCATCCTTTTTTTGTGGCTGCATAGTATTCCATGGTGTATATGTGCTACATTTTCTTTATCCAGTCTATCATTAACGGACATGTGGGTTGGTTCCAGGTCTTCACTATTGTGAACAGTGCTGCAATAAACATATGTGTGCATGTGTCTTTATGATAGAATGATTTATAATTCTTTGGGTATATACCCAGTAATGGGTTAGCTGGGTCAAATGGAATTTTTGGTTCTAGATTCTTG